GCATAGTGGCTATTGTTCAGGCCGTCCCGGGAGAGAACAGAACGGCCAGGCTGGAGCCTGACACCACACAACACAACACAGGGAAGTAGATGCGCACAGCTAATTGTCTAAAAAAATCACAATCACCCATTCACACTTTCCATTTCACTGCCTTTCTCTTGTGAATGTTACAGTCATAATTAAGCACTAACATACATGAGGATCCTTGAGATTAAAGGGATAGTTCACCCAAAAATAAACATTCTGGCATCATTTACTCATCCTCATGATGTTTCAAATCTGAATACATTTCTTTCTTCTGTGGTACACAAAAAATATATTTTGAAGCATGTTGGTATCCGAACAGTTGGACAAAAAATACTGTGGAAGTCAATGGGACCCAAAACTGTTTGGTTACCAACATTCGTCAAAATATCTTCTTTTGTGTTCCACGGAAGAAAGAAAGTCATACAAGTTTGGAATGACATGGCTGAATAAATGATGGCAGAATTTTCATTTTGGGGCAGATATAAACACAACGCACAATGACGTTACTACAAAATAATTTTTAAGCAAACAACATTCTTAAGCCAGAAAAGTGGTCTTCAAAAGGGGTCTGCTAATTGCCTACAAATTTCATTAAAGATATATATATAAAGTTAATGTCAAGCAAACCTAATATACATTTAATGTTATTAATGGGGCCATTCACACAGAACAGGTTTTTGCCTTGAAAAACGTGAAATGTGGGCAGTGGAATGGGAAAAATTGCAAGGCCTTGAGATGTGTTATGTTAACTTATTTTAACTTAAACCCTTGTTACCCTGTTATGCACAAGACATGAGCACAATGGTCAAACATGTCCATCTAGCGTGTGTTTACATAGAAAACCAATAGAACAGTAATGTAGCAGAATGGAAAATGTATGTATGTATGCACTGTATGCATCTAAAATGCATTAAATATGTATGTATGTATGTACTGTATGTATGTGCGAGTGTACAGATAGATAGACAGACAGACACACACACAGTAATCTAGGCCAAAAAAAAAAAAAATTTTGTATAACACAACTGGAATACTCTATTGACCAATCCGCAACTGTATTGACCAATTATTAAGTTTTAAAGGAGTTCAAATACATCCCACTGCCCCTAACCTCCCCAACAGGGTCTTAAGCCCACATGAGTCAGGCTTTTCAACATTACTGCTGCATCTATGATCACACTACAATATACCAGTCACACACACACACACCGGCCCACAGCAGGCCTCTGGTTCGAGCCATGAGGTCAGCGTGCCTGGAGGCCTGAGCTCTTGCCTTGCCGTAGATATGGGGTGAGGGCACTCAGCGCTGGGAAAAAAAGGATCCATTGTCCTGCTATTCTCTTTGGGGAGACGGACAATATAGATGGTTTGTGACACAACGGAAAGGTAGAAAAGAATGGGACACAAGGAGTCATGGAACAGGGTGACTCTAACGGTAATTAATCACTCCTGTCTGAAACAGGGTCAGAATTAGAGACCTAAACAACGGTTCGACAAAGACGAGGATGGTGGATAAAGATAATATCATACTATCACTGATGCCTGTTTCAATGGAATATTTTTTACTCAAATCAAAGGAAATATTGACTATATATTCAGTTGAGTAACTGCCAGATTATCATAATCACCATTGCTTCCAAACTTGTTTGAACAACTTTATACAGGAAAACAGTGCGCTAACAACCATGACTGGCCTAAAATCAATAGAAACAGATGCATTTTACAACATTATTCCATTTACAGAGTTCTGGCATGAAACTCTAGATGGCGCAGTCCGATAGGTCTAACTCAATCTGACCTAATGACATCATTATCACATGGCACAGCTGATTGGTTCTCTCCTGTATCGGTAGCCAATGAGCTCGCTGCTCAACATTCAAATATATGACTAGTGCTTGCCGTAGCAGTTGCAGCTTGCTTCAGAAACCCTCCACCTTCCCCAGCTCCACCTGTATAGATCTGCTACGAGGTGATTTATGTATGCTATATGGGGGTTATTTCATGCATGTTATATTTGCAGCAGCAATATTTCTTACATGCTCACAGCAGCATGTTGTGGATGTATTGGCAGCAGAAAGTCTCGGTACTTGCTCTGCCGCAGCAGCAGTGTAGCAGATCTATTCCGCCAAGACCAAATACATTAACATTGTCATGTACATTACCATGCCAATCCCTCCGAGAGTTGTCATGACAGAAATATTTTTCATAATGCTCATTATGGATAAGCCTAGTGACCTTAAAATGTTTTTGGACTCTTAAGCCACACTTAAAGATGACATTGCATGAGATAATAAATATCAAACCAAATGACATATGCAAATAAATGCAGTATACATATTTTTTAGCCAAAAGGTCCCATTTTCAATGGCTTTGAGAAGTTCTAGCAGCAGAGTAACCACAGGTGTAAAGAAACACATTAATTATGAACAAGTGCCACAGAGAGTACTTAATTTTGAACAGTAAGATTTTTTTTATGATATTTTAAAACCCTAACAAACGTATTTTTGTTTTGCTATATGTTTGTCTTCGGCTGTATTTCTTTAAAGTAAACACCATTTAGTTTGAAATCTACTACAATCCACTATAATGCATGAAATACAACTTCATTAATTGTATTTAACTAAACTGAACTACAGTGCACAAACACACTAGAAATTGCAAATGAGGCAGCTAGCACTGAGAGTAATGTGTCATACAGTTAATATTGTGCACTTGGACAAGTGCAAATGCCAGATGACAACACACTTCACATCTCCAAAAACTATTGGGCATTCATCCACAGTGGGGTTTGATTCACTGGCAGGTAGCCAAGAGAGAATCAGGGAAACATTATAATCCTACTTTAGAGATGAAATAATTTTAGGCATTGACTAAAACATTTTGTATGACCAAAACATTAGATCTCAATGCATTTCACTGGTTTGGATACATAATTATTTTGAGAATAAAAATAATTCCATATATTAAAATATTTTTTGTAATATCTGATAAATTACTTTAAAAAATACAACAATAAATATTAAATAAAGCAGTAAAATATTTCATAAAAATAAAATGGTAGTTAAAAAAAATATAAACTTAATTTTTACTATAAATCGTGAACTGCCAAATAAACATTCTAACATTTCTTGACCTCACATATATGTGCTTGGCATATCATTTATGGATGCTGGCTTAAAAAGATCAGACTTACCTTATGAGACGGTCTTGTGTGTAAACAAGCAGAGAGAATGCCGATAACTCAAGAGCAATGCCAGTCTCTTTTCCTATTGAATCTCAATCCCTCCCACCCTGCCTCTCTCTCTCTCTCTCGCTCTCTCTCTCTCTCTCTCTCTGCCACCACTCTCTATCTGGTGGCATGTGCCACTGACACATGATTGTTATTGTGGTTTCACATTAGCACCCTGATTAGTAATGCCTCGATTTTACACAGAAAAACACCACTGCAGCAAACTGAATCACTACAAATGTTACTGTATTTCAAAGAGAAACTGGAAAAACGATCACTTCATGATTTATTCTGGCCTGTTTTGCAAAATTATTCACATACCTCAAGTCCATGTTGGTTTGAATATGCTTCTCATGTAGTGTTGCACTCAACCCTGCAATGTAATTGTAAGAGAAAACCGTTTATTACTCAGATGTTTTAACAAGACCACCGAAGTACAAACAGATCTGCTTTTAAACAGCTGTCTGAACCGTAGGGGTCAGCTGCCCTTTTGCTGATGCTGTTTCTTAAGTAGCTCTCACCTAACTTCCTGTCTATCTGAAGGAATGGCTGCTTTAAGACACCAGATGGATGAAAGCTTCGATGGCTACCTCTCTGCTGTGATCTTGGCAGGCCACCAACGTTGGATTTCAGAAAGTACGTCTCACTCTGAGACAGAGGCAGTTGTTGGTCCTTCTCCATCTGGGTTAGAAAAGATGCTTTTTTTCTGTTAAACCCACCAGGCAGCACATGATAACAGACTAGATGTGCTAACACCTAAAAGAAAGCACTCTTTTATATACATGTTAAAAACAATGTAGGCTTCTAGTCTGTAGAGACAGCAATGTACAGGACCAATGACATCTAAACTGGCTGCTAAAAACAGGAACTTTAACTTCAGAACAAGTTACATTTTAATGCATATTCATAGTGTAAACATAGAAATAAAATACCTTGGCTCAGTGATAACGAATTAAAAAAAAATGCTTTCAGATGCATTTAAATTCAGTATGGCATTCCCTGAAACTATTGTACATGGATAATAAACTGCCATCTAGTGGTCACAATCCAGAAACACCAAACAATGTAAAAGAAAATGTCAAAGTATGTCACCTTGATGATCCCTAACAAGACAACAAACCTAAATACAATAGAAAAGCTTTATTGAAAATTGACATTACAGGACTGTACATAAATAGAAAAATGATAAACCACTGTATGACCAAATGTGAGATTAGAGTAAAAAAAAAAAAAAAAACAGCATTAAAAAAAAAAGGTTCACACCCGGGTATTTCATACATGTTCTTGCATTTGTAAATGTGCAAATATTAAAAATACAACATTATACAATCACCCACTTGCAGAAACTGCATGATGCCTCAGACTACAGGCACAATAATAGAATTTCAGTCCATACAAATATCACTTCTTTATGTTACATCAAAATAATAAAAAATCCAATACCTGAAAACTTGAAAGGCTCTATTGTTCATAGGTTTTTCCAAGACACAAATAAACACCTATTAAAAGTCTATTAAAATACAGAACTAGACATATTTGCACAGTAAAAACAACTGCTGATGCACAGCACAACAGTCTTATTTTTCGAGTACTTGCTGTTAAAAATGTTTCAATTATCCCATAATAATTTAAGACATCTGAATATGAACCAAAAATCTTCTCAGCATTCAAGCCAAACACAAACACACAAATATAAGTGACATGAAAGGGCAGAGGAAACACACACAGCTGCATCACTGATACACACACACACACACACACACACACACACACACACACACACACACACACACACACACGCATCATTTTCACCTGAGCGTCACACCACCAGACTCTCTCTGCTCACAGCTCCATTCTGGACAAAGAAAACACAGCAGAACTTTGTATAAGTATAAAAATATAACATTACTGAACATTAAAGCACTGTATCCTTATCTGCTGAGCTTAACTTAACATTGACAAAGAAAAAAAGCCTGAATTTGCCATGGAAAATGACCAGAAAATTTTACTTTCATTACTTTTTAGAATGTTTCAGCTAAAGACGGAAGCTTGTTTTAATCATGGTAGCATGTCCCCGTTTTTTTTTCCCAGCAGGGCCCTTGACTCCTGACTTGCTGAACTTTGTACCTAGGCACATAAAATAGCTAACTAAATAACTAACTAAATGGCTGGTTCTTGCCATTCAGCTGTGAATATCCTTCTTGTCATTTTGTATACTAGTTTCTTTCTAGTATCACTGCTCCACCCTGCTTTTTGAATATTTTATTATTCTGCATCATTCTTACTCGTATTTATTAATTTATACGCAATATGTTATTTGCTTGTATATTGTTTACATATAGATTACTTCACATTTTGTACTATTCTGAAACACATTACATACATGATTATTGCACAACAATGATCAATTGAACTATACTGTAATATGAATTTAAATAAAAATTAAACTCAGCCAGGTACTAATAAACCAGTTTAGTATTATTTATATATTATTATAGTATTTAATAACATTTTGAATTAGCATTTATTTTTAATTTTCATAAACAAAAACTATTTTGAATAGGTTTAGTTTAAGGAAACATTAACACCACCAGCAAGGCCATCTGGATTTAGCTGGATCTTTAAAAGTGGTTTTGAGTTCATTGTCAATACAACAACAACCTAAAAAATAATAATGAAATAAACAATACATAAGTTTTAATAAGCACTTTTGAATCTGGCTCTTACCTTTTTTAAGTTGCTCTTCTTGGACGATGGCAAACTGTCACTGTCCTCAGTGTAGGGAGGGGGTGGAGGTGGTAAGTTGCTATGGTTTCCATGACGATTAGGGTTTCCGGAGGGCGGGGCGAGCGGCAGAGGTGGCGGTCCGCCGTGTGGCCCCCTGTAGCGGTCAGAACGTTCGCTCTCGCTGTCGAGCCGCTCGCGGCTGCGGCCTCTCTGCTGCTCGCCCAGCTTCTTTTTTTCCATGGCTTCCCTCAGGAAGCTGTCATCGTATGCGTCCCGACCTCCACGGCCATGATCACGCTCCAGATCCATCAGGTCATCACGACTACGACTGCGCTGGCCCTGAAAACCAGCCTCACGGAAGGAGTCTCCACGCCGAGGACGAGCATCAGGAGAGTAATCACGGCGCCGACGGTCATCAAAGACAGGGTCGTATCCTCGTCCACTGCTGCTCCACTCGTCATCCGAACTGGACAGAGGAAAGTCATGGGTTAAGAAGGACTGTCAAGTTAATGCATTCATTTGGCATGATTCGAAACGATTCAGTCACTAACCCTCTTCTGCCGCCTCTAGCCCCACCATCTCGGCGTGCTGGCGGATAGTCATCTCTGTCTCCGAAATTGCGGCTGATATCGTCCAAATTTTCCATGGAGCGTGCACGTCCTCGACTGTCAGGTCCCCACCTGGGCTCATCCCGTCGGATGTGCTGAGAGACGCTGCTGATGGTGCTCATGTTTCCGTCCACATCATCGTACACCGTGGTAAGCTGAGGCGGTCTGGCCCGACCACGATTTCGAGAGTCTGGACCATCGTGAAGTGAGCTCACCTCGCTCATACCATCCACTGGAGGATAGACGGGAAAAACAGAATAAGACCAAAAGAGTAAAAAGGTTTTAATAAACTGAACACCTACAAATCATCCCCCAACCTTGGAAAAACAGAGAATCTACAGGAAACAAAGTTTACACAGAGTTTGTTTCCTTTAGATTGCCTGTGGACTTTTACACACACAAGTAGGACATGTTTGTGAATTCCTAATCCTGTCAAAAATGGGTTGATTTAAATGTTCAGGAACCAGCAGAGGATCTTGATCCAGGAACATGTCCTACGCAAGTCATATTAAGCACCACTTTGTTATAACCCAACCCTCAGAGTGAAAGATAGTGCCCATCTCCAGAACTAACGACGACTGTATTTGCCTGGAGTGTTCACTGGGCGACTAGGGTCACAGTTGGCCAGCTCTCGCTCCATGTAGTAAAGCACCCGAGTTGGGTTTCCATCTTGGTCGGCCTGAACACGGTATCCACTACGGGCTGAAAAACAACACCAACATTAGATGTGAAACAGAAGGCTTCAAAGGGATAAAGTCACTTAAAATGTTATAGATGGATCGATATAGTGAGTGACGTAGTGAAGATCTCTCACTTACTTCCTCCACCATCGTGGTCTTGCAGGAGCGGCACTTGAGATCCTGCACCAACTGGAGCAGGACGAACAAATGATCAAACAATTACACTTATTGAAGTAAAACAATGTTGTTAAACTGCTGTTTTTAAGGAAAAGAGAGGACGAGTCTACCTGAGCTGGCTCTGTCAAAGTCTCTGCCATAGCCATTGGAGGGAGGACCAGCAATGCCCACCGGCATAGGGAGCATGGGTATGCCTGGCGCAGCTCCACCAATTCCATAAGCTGGCTGGCCATACATGCTTGGGGCGTAGACAGTGTGTGCATACTGACCGGGGATGCCAGACTTTACCATTTTACCAGCCTCATACACTGTGAAGAAGTTAATTTAACATGTTAATTTAGCAGAACTAATAATTTAAAACAACAATGCCAAATTAAATCCATGTTAACATATGGAGGCTTTTCTTTGCAAATATTCATACATTAAATATTTTTAACAATTAGTTTGATTAATTCATCATTATATCATGTAAATAATTACTGTAGATTATATATTTTTTAATTAACTGAAAGCCCTATTAAAAACAATTCACACAAAAAGGAATTTTGCAACACTTTTCTGGAACACATTTTACCACGTTCAGAGTTATTATCGTTAACTATAAATAAAACTATTAAAAAGCTTTTGTTAAAGCTGAAATAAAATAAAATCTAAATATCTTAGATGAAAAACTAAATAAACAAAAATTAGAAAGTTTACTACTAACTGTAAATAAAAACTAAAACTGAACTAAAGCTAAAACTAAAACAAAAATAAATTAAACCTAAAAATAATTATAATAGTAACAAACTAATAAAAATGACAAAAGCAAATAGCAAAATTACTAAATATTTAACTAAAATTAAAACTGAAAATTAAAAAATAAAAGCTAAATCAAAATATTAATAAAAACTATAATAGAATATATTAGTGGTTAATCGTAGTTGATCCGTACAGACCAAGCCCCACGATTCGGCGCGCATGTGATCTGTGGATTAATTGCAAAATTGAACCATAATAGGGTATACATTTATAATTTGTTCGTATTTACACAAGCAAGCGAATTTGAAACAATTCCAGAGAGAAAAGGCGAAAGGGAACTCAATTCGTTACTCGCGCGCTGTTCTCTACACGCACAGCCGCGCACACATGAAGCACACGCGTTTCAGACGGCACGCGAACACCGAACTGAATCCTCTTCTGAATCCTCTGAACAGACACATACACATAAAATTATGACAAAATACCCATCTCGACAATCATTCAGGTAAACGCAGTCAGTTATGTCTCAAGTGAATGAAAACAGCTGAGAAAAATCGGATGTGATGTGTATCATTATATCGGATCCGTGCATCAGGTCTTAAAGGGACAGCGGCCTATAAATACTGCTGCTGTCATTAATGATCATCAAACAACAAAACAGCTGTGATAAAAAAATCTATATTTAATTTATACAGTGAACACTATGCAGTGTTATTTTCCCTAATTATTACATTTCTGTATTTGAATACTACCAACCTTATTTTATTTGTAACATATTCTGTTGTATTTATCTATGCTTGTAATTGGTGTATTTGTTCTTATTTTTTACTGGCTGTTCTCTTGTCTCTTTAATCATGTTTAAACTTTCTTAGTTAATCGGGAGACATACAAAATGTGCAGTGCTGGGGGGCGCTCAGGACCAGGGTTGAGAAACACTGCACTAGAATATATAATATGAAAATAACACTGACCACTTTTTTTTACTGCCTTTTCATTCAGTTTGATCCTCCTAAACAGGGCATTTCTGGCTAAAGGGGAAGTGGAAGTGAAGGCGGTGTGGACTCACATGCGCGGGGACAGCAGCAGCGCTCCGGGCAGCAGGGGCAGCTAACGTAACAGCAGCAGGTGTGAGGGCAACACTGACACCAGCAGATACCAATCAGGAGCAACAACAGCAGGAAGCCCAGGACCACCAACACCACTAACAACCAGTCTGGAGAACAAGAAGAGAAAAAAATAAATAAATAAACATTTGGGGGAAAGAGTCAAATCTCTTGCATCAGATACTAATCAGAAGAATGAGGGCATTAAACAGAAAAGACTAAAAATAAAAACATGTAAATGCAATACTGGCTTAATTTCTGTTTTAATTACTTATTTTGGTACTTTTCCACCATCCCTAATGCTTAGTAAATGTCATGAGATGGGTGCATTCATCTTCAGGTGCACATGTCTGTCAGTTCTGCAAGCAAAAATTTAAAAAAAGGGAAAAAATGTATTTGACACAAAGAAAAACCAGCCGAACAGGTTTTGCCTCACGATACTCTGCCAGGGCTCGACGCCGGCATGCACCACAACAACACCCTACATGCACAGACACAACATGACTCATGTGCAAACGCAGATCTTAGAAACTATTCCACAATGGAATTTTCTGGTGGAAATTTCATCAAATCACAGACACTCCTCTTGCACCATCTAAATACACCCCGATCTGGAATAACCCAGATTTTACAGCTAACAAGAAGCCACTCAACTTACGCACATGGGCAGAAAAGGGCATCACACAACTTCAGCATATCTTTCATAAT